GAGCGGTCTGGAGACTCGCTCTTTAGCGTTGGCTAGAAGAAAAGGGAAACACGTGCTCTCCACACATAAACAAAATTTACGATAAAATAAAAATGAAATAAAATAATTAATAAATATAGCTCATTACATAAATATAATATATAAAAAAAAAAATCGATAACCCGTCTCCGAAGAGACCCATCCGATGGTCTGGATGCTTCGCCGAAATGACCTGACCGTTCGCCGTTGGCGGCTCCCGATTACGCGAAAACTTTCTGTCTTCAAACCGATGCAAGTGGGCGTGGGCGCAATACTATTTCAGCACGGAGATGAACCGGGTGATAGAAGAATCATATCCTACGCTAGTAAGAAACTATCGGAAACGCAGAAACCTTACGTCGCCGTAGAGCGAGAATTCTTAGCAATTATATGGGCGACTGATAAATTTCGCCGGTACTTAGAGTATTCTCCTTTCGAATTACTTACGGATAATTCCGCGTTTACTTGGCTACACAGACCAAGGGACAATAATTCTAAATTATCTAGATGGGCGCTACATCTAGAGAATTTGAAATGTACCGGGAAGCACAACGAAGAACCGGACATGTTGTCACGTTATCCGACCGAAGGGCCCCCTGTTGACGAAGAGTTACTCGACGACAATTTAGTGGGCGCACCGACGACGAGAATGTCGAATAATACGCGGACCACTCTTGACAATGTTTTTGCCTTAACCGAACAAACGGCGCGTCATATATACGGTCGTTTACGGGGTGGGGGAAGGGGGAAATACAAGATCGGCAAAACGACGACCCGTTTCTTTCATCCATCATGAAACAACTATTCAAGAATAACGCCATTAAAAACGATAAGGACTCCAACAAGAAGAACAGCGAATATTTCATGTTAGATGGACTTGTACGCATTCGTATGGGCGTAGACACACCAGCCGTAATACCGGTATCACAGCGTGTGATTTGGCGATACCACGACGATGCGCTGGCGTGTCATCCAGGATGGAAAGAAACCTACCGAGCGATCAAACAGCGTTTCTATTGAAAGGGCCTGAAAAACATAGTACGTGAGTACGTAAAATCGCGTGATATTTGCGTGTGTACGAAGGCAACCGTGGGAGGTTATTAGTATCGACTTAATAGGTGAGTACCCTAGAACACCAAGGGGAAAAACGAACCTGTTAGTAGCAACTGACTGTTTCAGTCGCTGGATCGCAGCGTACCGATAGGCGCAGCGACTACAAAGACGATTGTAGACACGCTTGAACGCGAATTTTTCTCACGTTTTGGGTACCCTCGCGTATTGCTTTACGACAACGGACGGAATCTGGTTTCTAACGAAATTATTAACGCGATAAATAGATGGGGGGCGCAAGCCTGGACCACAGCTATTTATCATACGCTTTATTTATCATTACTGAAGTAATGCCTAACGGTAGTTCCAGACTCACAATAATGCCAATCGTAAAAAAAAAAAGTATGATCATTCCTTGTAGGTTCAGGAAAGAGTTGTAAAGAGAAGCCCATTCTAAACATTTAGGTATTTCTAAAATTAAACAGTAAGTAGATATTACTTTTGGTGGCTTCAATTGGATAGAGAAATTGAAAATTATGTTAAAAGTTGTAATTGTGTTACAAAAAACTAAAACTAACTAAAACCTAACTCAACCGTTTAGTATTTGTAATATTCAAAAATAACTCAACTTAGTTTTAAGTAGAAAAGAGAGAATGAAATCGATATGTGAGGTTGTTTTATGATAATACATGTGTTTTCTTTGAAACTCTGTTTTATTTTTATACCTTTACTGTCCTATTATAAGCTGTGTCTGTGTATTGTCATGCCGTGGAACATACGATACTACATACCTAATGGCAAGGTACATGTAGATTTTTTGAATCTTAGTAAAATAAATTTTATGATTTTGACAGATGTATTTTCTAAGTGGCCTGAGGTGATAGAAATGAGAAATATCAATAAATAAATATATTTATAGAATTAGAAAATAATGGAAAATTCACCAAAGTAGAAAATTATGAAAATAGTGTTAGATTTTTGTTGAATAATAATAGATAAAAATTATTTGACTCATTCAACTGTTAAGAAGTTTACTGTTATTTATTTAAAAAGTATATAAAAATATGAAACAAGTGACACAATTTGCGCCAAAATGATGTAGTCGACACAAATTAATCGTTAGATTTGCGATGTTTGCGTTAAAAGTAGCAGGTCAATTTATGATAACCGGGTGGGGAATTCACTGCTGTCACCAGCGAACTATGTGATTGAAATAACTCGGAGAAAAGGAAATATGAAGGAAACCTAGCTGTCTCTTATACGAAATATAAAATAAAATAAAAATCAAGTTATCAAATGGTTTTCTTCCTTAATTCAATGTGAGACCGGTTGAGATCCTTACCGAGAAGCCAGTTGACAAGACTTACATCGCAATAATGTAGTCGACATTGGTTTTGGGGGTAGAGACCCGTGGGCCGTTTATTAATGAGCAACAACAGATTATTTAAAAAAACAAACCGAAAAGACGAACACAGTTAATAATAATCTTTGCATAATATTGCGGCACTTTCGCTGGCGTCGGCGACACGGTGTCCGGCATGATCTTCGGACGTCAGAAAGTTAGCAGCGTTGATGGCGACGGTGCGCGGGTAAGTATCGGTTCGTCGAACGCGGTCATGTGACACGCCGGAACAGTGGCGTACATCCTCGACGTTGTCACTTATTAAGAAGACTCAACGTATCGTTTTTGGCGGGTCGTTTTTTGCCGTGTGGCACTTTGCAATGTGATGTATGGCACGCGGTGTTGGTAGAGTCAAATATAATATAATAATAGGGTGACGGCTGAAAAAAAGTATTTTTGGCAAAATTACTTAGATGATCAGATTTTCAAATTTTTTTTTTAACATAAATAATAGGTCACGCAACTACTGGGAAATTATTTGAGAAGGTTGGAAGATTTTTAATTGCTTACTAACGCCAGAATTTACTAATTTGTTATAAATAAATCTGTTATTTGTTTTCAAGACGTTTCATTTAAAACACAAAATTCATCTGAGCCTGTGTTTTTAATTAAAACTATTATAATGCACAACTATTAAATATTAAAATAAAATTTTATGAATTTTACTAAACTACCTTATTTTAATCATTTTAATAGTGTGTATAAATATATTATTTTACATTGAAAACATATTTGTACTAAAACTATAGCAGAAACATATTTAGAAATGCGTCATTTTAAGTAGAATTACCAAAAGTCTTGTAATAAATAATAATATTGTAAAAACATCCATAAATTCTGTTTTTAGGTTTAATTTAATATTCATAAGTAATAATAAAAGCAGTTTTTTTAAAAAGAACAATAAATTATTCACTTTAAACCAATATCTGTTAAATTGAATATTTTTAACTGTTTTCTATTTATTTCAGCACAATTTATCTTATTTCATTAATGACACTTCCCGTGATTTTTTAAATTTTTTATTTTTTTAGAATTTTTATTTTATATTTCCAATGACTTAATTATATTATTATTAATTGATATTAGTAGAAAGAAGATCACGGCACCACTTACATTTTAAACGTCTGGGTGGGTCTCCAGGTATGGACAATGTTGAGAGATTTTTTATTAGGAGTTTAGAGTGGGAGAGTAATTTACTGTGGAATCTTTTATAGTAGGAGATGGCTTCTTCATGGACTGTTTTTAAGTTAAGGTCAATATGAAGTGTATAATTAGAGATATAGGGAGGTGCATTGGTTAGTTTTCTTAAGCCAATATTCTCAAAGCCTTGAATTTTATTGGTATTAGATTTTTTAGCATTGCCCCATAAGTGAAGGCCGTAAGTCTATATAGGTTTTAAAAGGAATTTATAAATTAGAAGTTTAACATTAATGTTTGTAAATTTATTGTTTATGATTAATGATATGAGTAACCGCAGACGGCTATTTAAAGACGAGCGTTTAATTTTAATGTGCTGAGCCCACGTGAGCCGATTATCTAGTGTAAGTCCGAGATACTTGACAGAGGAAGAGGAAGGGATTTGTACTCCATATAGGAGGAAACCAGAACAAGGGAGAAGTCTTAAAATAAAGGTAGTATGAACTGATTTTGAATAATTAATATTAAATCGTCATTTTGTGTACCAATCTTCCATTAGGTGTAGATGATTTTGCAAATTGACGGATGCAATCTGAGGGTCAGAGTTACAGGACAAGATAGCTTTGTCATCAGCATAATCTGCAACAATGGTGTAAAATAGATTTTACTTGAGTATTGTTTTCTACACTGGCATATGCAAGGGGGGGTTGAAACCCCCCAAAATTTATAAGCAAGCAATAATATTGGACGATAAACAATAAGTAATAACAATAAAAAATATCATATCATACTATAAATATTTCCACAATAAAGTAATCGAAAAGAGGAATTTTTATGAGAGAATTATATGAGCAGTGACACACCTAATTTTCTTTAAATTTTAAAAACCCCCCAAATTTAATTTCTGTGTACACCACTGGTTTTCTATAACAATAAAAACCATTGAAAGTATAAATTAAAAAATGTTTACGTGTTTTGTATATAATAATACTGTTTATATTTTTATTACAATGAACAGTATTTAGTTATACAACAAATTAATATAAACATTTTTTAAGTTGTTGTTTTTTTACAATTAAATTTGAATAATAATAATGTGGTTCAACTTCACGTTAAATTAAAATAATAACTCAATTCCCATGATAATTTTTATTTTGTTAAAAATGATAAATGTTATATCATATTACTGTTTATATTTTACATTAAATGGGTCATTTAAAGTGACTCATTATTTTAATAAATAAAATAACTTTATTGCAGACTTTTACTACATAGGTATAAAATTTTATTACTTCATATTTTGAAAATTGTTTTATTAAAAATATGTTTTTTATGTTTACATATTACTTTTATTTCATTATGGATGAATAAACATATATAATAACGTTTGAATACGACAAAATTATAGATTTTAATTTTTCGATTGAAACGTATCAGTCTGTTTATAACTTAAAGTATATTCTTTTAATTATTTTTTATAACATAGTATACCATGCGTTTATTACACATACATTTTTTATTTTTTTGTTTTTATTTTATAAAACCGTCAGTCAGTACAATATCAGACCATTTATGGAAAAGTAAATCAATTAATATTTTTTAATGAAAATATAATTTTAATTATTCCATATGTTTTGAAATATTAAATTTTTAATGTATAAAAGTATCTTATTATAATTTATAATATAATTTTATAATCATAATGTTATAAACAAACCTGAGTTTTAATAGACGAGTTTTTCAGAGATATCTTAATAATTTTGATTAATCCCTGAAGAATTTTTTTAAAAAAAGTTATAATAACGTTTTTATAACATATAATGTTATATTAATATTATAAAAATATTTTATACTATTATTTTTTTTTATTGATATTTGGGATTATCTACCAGATTTTCGAGTGGTTATATCTCTTTCTTCAACCTTCGGTTTTATTAAGGCTTCTAAAATATTTATTTAATAAGGGAATCCGTTTCAGAACCCTATCTAGTTTAAGTTCTCACAAACATCTTATGTTACATCATATATGTGTACTTATTAACCTTATGATCATGATATTGAAGTATGCTTGGGGGATATTTAAATGCATAAATAAATGTACACACAACGTAATTCTTTTAACACTAATCAATCAATGTCAGTTAATTTTAAAAGGGATCTAAATAAACATTTTCCACTCTGGACAATATTACATTATATTTACAAGGCTAAGATTTCATATTTAGATTCGGTCGCTTAAAGTTTTACTATTAAAATAATGTTGGAAACATTTTAAATAATTTTATGTTTCTGATTAATATTTTTCAATTGCAGAAATAGGCAAATTAATAGATTTAACAAGTAAGTAGTATCAATGTATTAAAATTATGAAAAAAGCCACTATTAAAATATTTCAAATTTTTATCTACCTTTTACTCATTTTATTATTGTTCTCAATGAAAAAAAATAATTCTTATGTTAGAGAAGTCTTGAATACCTGTATAACTAGGTAGAACCAAATCGAACCTCAACATACTGAGTCATGCGTGTTTATGATTAAATTATTTAGGCCGCCTTTAACTGAAATTATATTAATGTAACTTGTGTAATTACTATGGCCTTTATCTACAAAAATGTTATGTGGTGCTATTTTCTTTGGTCTATTTAACTAAAAAATCAAATTAATGAAAACAAAAATAATTATGTAATAAGAATTTATAAATTAATTTTTTTTTTTTTGAGTAAAATACAGTACAGATTCAATAATATAAAATTAAGATATTTTTTAGATTAGTATTGAATAATATCTGTCAGTGATTAAAGGTTTTTGACTATTTATAAATAAACTATACTTATTATTTTGAGTTTATAAGTTACGTGAGTCGTATATTAAAAGAAGTGTGTATATCAGCTCTTGAAGGAAAAGGATTAAGAATAAGTATGAATAAGACAGAGTGTACATAATACGAGTTAGACAAAGGAGAACACGAGATAAGTGAAATGAGGAGATCAGTGACAATAAGCAAGGACATGATAAGAGAAGTAGAAAGTTTCAAGTATTTTGGATCAGTTGTGCAAACGAATGGTGGTATTGATGAGGATGTAAGAAACAGGATTAATTAAGGGTTAGAAAAGTTGAGAAAAGCGTCTGGTGTGTTATGCGATAAGAGAATATCAATGAGGCAGAAAGGTAAGTTCTATAAGACTATAGTAAGACCAGATATGATGTATTATTCAGTGTTGGGTGGTTGATAGGAAAATAGAGCAGAGAAAGAGTGAAGTAAAGATGATAATCCTTAGATAGATAAGTGGAGTGACTAGAGAAAATAGAATAAGGAACGAACATATAAATGGGAGTATATGTGTAGCGTCAATCATGAATTAGACCAAAGAAAATAGACTTAGATGTGTTGATAGTTCAGTCATGTTATGAGGTGAGATGAATCGAAAGCTGTAAGAACAGTTATAAAAACGAATAATGAAGGGATAAGATGTAATGGAAGATCTAAAAAGAGATGGAGGAATGTTATGGAATGCGATATGAGGAAGGTTAATGTGAGCATAGACGATGTGTGAGTTCGTGTCAAGTGTAATTTTACGATAAGGGTGACCAATCGCAAGTAGTTGTGGTAAAAATGAGGAAAAAGAAGACATGAGTCGTACATTAGACTAATATTATATCATCTTGATTGTTTTATCATAATATTATATAACCTAGAAGGGACTATATCAATCGTAAAATGTAGGTATAAATATTTATGAGGTGCCCCAGATTAAACTAAAAAAATCTCGATAGACCTGAACATATCTACCAAAAAATACATCGTTTTTAAAGTTGATTACTCATAGTAGNTTTAAACTAAGATTAAACTAAAAAAATCTCGATAGACCTGAACATATCTACCAAAAAATACATCGTTTTTAAAGTTGATTACTCATAGTAGACCAATCATCGGATTGTTTTCTGTTTTTAATTATATATTACATTAAATAAGCTTTAGCTCGAAATAATTTAGAATGATGGAAGTATTGTGTTACTATGGAAATATTACAAAGTTGGTAATTTTCCCCGAAATTTATATTTTTTTTCTTTATTACCTGATAAGTTTTAATAATAAAACTTATTGGTTTGTACTAAATGAATTATTCAAATGAGTTAACATAATCAAAATAAACTTTATTCATATAAGAATCAAAATAATAATATTGTTATGACATTACTTTAATAATTTTACTAAAATCTAATTGTTCTAATGTTCGATTTCAGATGAAAAACTTGAAAAAGTAACCAAAGGTAATATTTATTATAAAATCTGTATATTTTAATTACAAGCATAAAATTTTCAAGTAATATTTATTTATTTATCCCTACATTGTTGTTAATTCGTAAACGGACTGTAATTTTAAAATATCATAAACAGAGTGTAATGCTCTTTACCTAGTGTAAAATATATCATATGTCATTGTAGCCAAACTGTACGAGTAACGTACGCTGTTTAAAACAAGTAATACTATATGCGTTACATCGTGTAGCATAATTTGTTAATATTGCACAAATAGCCTTCAACATGTCAAAGTGTCCGCAAAGCATAGACAGTACATAACAGTTGGACACTCGCCTTGCACCGCTAACCCGTACGACAAAACGAAAATAAAGCTTAATCACTTATTTCCGGCTACATGAATGATGCCTATCGCAGCTGGGCGCACGTGGCTTCATGCAGTTAGTTTTTATTTAAATTGTTCCAAATGTTAGTCGTATTGACTTACAATCAATACTATTGTGTAATTTATAAATTTGTCTGCCATAGACAAATTTATTTTATACAACAAAAATAAACTTTGTTTTTCAGTGAATATCCAACAAATTAAATGATTTTATTTAATGAAATAAATTAATACAAAAGCAACTTTATAATAAAATAAGAACAATGATGACCTCCTCTTTATTGATTGTATTCTTACGTGTGGATGTAGTTGGAACTGCAGGCCCACCCTCATGCGGCGCTCTGACCAGTAACACCGATTCACTTCTACTCCCTGATAGGTCACTGATTAAACGGTCATAGGTACCTGCTTTTACTCTAATAACATTTTTTGATAAATAATGTTACAATAATGTTTTTATAACATTATTTTTTTTAATTTAGGTATGTTCGTCGACTTTTATATTAAAGAAATTAAAAAAAAGTTACGATTAAAATTTTCTTATATAAACTGAAATAATAAAACATTTTTAACTGATTTCACCAATTATCTCTTTTCCACTATTCTGAAATGATTCTTCCTTAAATTTCAAATACACAACGCATCCATATATTAATAAATAAATTTGATTACTTTTAAGTAACATAATAAAATATAATATAACTCGAAAACATAAAATAGCATAATTAGTTAACTTTTATTTGAAAAAGAATATATATATCTTACTTCGTATGAACGAACTATCAAACGATAAATATTTAATTTTAAAATTGACAAATTATAATGTATAGGTAAATTTAACACCTTTTTACAATAATGTAAAATATGATAAAAAAATAGCTGTCTTTATAGAATTTTCTGTAGAACATTCCCGATAATACTCTCGAAACAGATTTTTACGATAAAATTACATCGCTAGGTAATTGTATTTATGTGTACTCACCCGTTAGTGTTTTAAAATTTCAACCGTTCTGTAAGCAATTTTTTTTTTATGCCCACGCACAGATTTTTTATTAGGATATGTTTTCTGCGCATGAATATTTGATAAAAATGCTAAATTATTATCATTGCTTCTATGTTTTTTGAAATTGTGTTAGTATACATGTAATGATAACTATACAATATTATACCACAGTAACCAACATTATTATAAAAATTGACTTTTGTATAATAAAAAAACGCAGCACAGGGGGTCGCGGCACAGTGGTGACGTGGCATAGTTGGATCAAGTATAATGATATCTGACAGTGATTAAAATCACTATCAAAAATAAACGCTTCGATGCAAATCTTTAGATAGTGTTTAATTTTAAAAAAATTGGTGTTTTATTCCAAAAGCTAC